CCTTCCCAAAATTACTTCAACCGAAGGTTTCCAGATGGATATGCGGAGCAAATCCATCTGGCAGAGTCAGGTTAGCACCTGTCAGGATCAGCTAGTCTCTGGATTTGTTTCTGTAATGCCAGGATCATCACACACAAACTAACTACATCTCCCATTATGCCTCACAGCTCCAACGTCATACCCTAGGTGATAAAATTACTATAACAAGCCTCCACCTTTCTCTTTTTCAATCTAAACTGCTTTAAAGAGGATGTACCTTAGCAGAGTAGAGTCATGTTTGAAAACAGGAGTTTCCTTAATAGTCTCCCCGGTTAAACTGAGAGAACCGCGTCTGATATAGGATTATAAAAGAAGTCCCTGGAGAACTGAAGAACCCAAGGTCCTCTTCGTGGAAATTTGAGTCCCTGTTCCAGATTTTCTTTAACCAAGGAAACTGACCGGAACCGCCTTCTTGCCCTTCCATCAAAAGCAAGCAGACTAGATGCATCCTGCCTGATTGTGCTGCTACACCACAAATGAGAAGAGAGCTAGAAGCACAGCTTGCTTGTATTGCCCAAAGAATATCTCCAGCGATCCCCCGCTGCCAGAAGCTCTGACCCACCAGCTCGCATAGCAAAACCATAGAGCGAGGCCCTAGAAGCCAGCCTTGCTGGGAACCAGAAACAAGCCAGAAGTGCTGACACAAATTTGTACAATATATGCCCCGCCCCTAAAAAGAAAAAAACAATAAAACACAATGCCATGTGTGGACATCCACCTGGCTGACTATGGTAGTAATGAGATTCTGAGAAAGGACACATCAAATCAAATATTTACCTTCAATAAGATAAATCAGGAAAATGGTACTTTATGGCTGATGTAATTTTACAAAGATAATTTTGTAGAAGTGGTCCTACAGACAACAGAGTAATATAGGGATGATCTGAAAGACAAACCTATAACAGTGAAAACATAAAAAAACTGTTTTTAATCCCTCCACTAGCAGGTACTTCAACAGGCACGCGAATACTCGTCTGTCTTGCCATCACAGCAGCTGAACAGATTAGAGGCTCCCACGCTAAGCAAGGCCCACATTCATTCCATGGAAAGCTTTTGTCATTCACTCACTTAATCTCTCTGCCTCCCCGTTTCTCAAAACCTTCAGTATACACATATTTCTGCCTCACACAATTTCTGGACATGGAGCAAACAAACTCAAGGGCAATGCTTTCTTTCTGATTGGAGAATTTTAATTAAATTTTATTGTTTTATTTTTTTTTTTTATACCGACAAGAACCAAACCCTTCCTGCTTGTTTTACATGCTTTCAAAGGTCTTTGATTTAAAATTGTTTAGAAAACTTGATAAAGCACAAATGTCTTTCCTTTGAACCTAGTAAACAATCTAAGGCATGTGTTGATGTTGAACAGAAAAAAAAGTCAACCGTCAATGTTTTCCCCTCACCATCTGTGACCTCCAGTTGAGCCTTAGCGAGGATGCTGCCTGCAACGGTCAAAGCCTGACAAATGTAGTAGCCGGCATCTGTTCGCTGCACAGATGAGATGGTGAGCTCTCCGCTGGGCGACACTGAAAAGCGACTGTTGGGCTGCTGGGGTTGGTTAGGAAATAGGAGAATCTGAAAGAAGGTGAACAAACAGCCAATTAGAGAGAACATGAACACGGTGCACCTCGGACAAATTACAAAATCATCCATCCACAAATTCTAACAAACACAAGGAGATTGTGCACACTTACAAACAAAGAGATTGAAGTGCTATAGCGACAGAGTGAGCAATTTCATCTTCCAATTGTTCAACCGAGCTCAAACTGGAAAACATGTATACACTTTCTGATGTATTTTTCCAAGGAATTTTAGGAAAAGATTTTGCGCTTTGTGAGATTTATAACTTCAGTCCTTCCCTTTTAACACGACTGTAGTATATCTTATTTGCCTGGTGGAGGCTTAAATTAGAAATAAGACCACTGTACTTGTTTTTTTTCTGGGGTGGGTAACATTATACTTTGGTAATGTTATTGAATTAACAATTGAAAAAAAAAAACACCTTTGTGACATGGTGCATAATGCAAAATTTCTCTTGCAAAATCAAAACCATTGTGATGATTACTATTTCCATTTATTAGTATTTATTAGAGATCTCTCATTCAGGATAGAAAACTTAATTCTCCAAATCTTATTATCTATTTCAAGTCCTTATTTGTGTGTGTTTAAACTTGATTCAATCATATCTCATCAGATTACTCTAACAAATTAGATTATTTGTTTAAACTAGCCGTCTCCATCTTATGCGCTTGTGAACTTATTATCCTGGAGTGTGAGGAAAGTGCTACATTTAATTACCTTTAATTTGCTCACTTAACAGATCCCTTTGTATCTCATCACTGAGGAAAAGGATATGTGAACAAATACAAGGCAAAGATGAGTTTGTACCTGTCTAAATATTTGTGGTGTATTCGCTTTATTTTCAGCTTTAATGACATAGTGACACATAAGTGCAGACAAGATTCCTATTTCAGTGACATGTGATGCATTAGGTCATCCATGGCTGTATGCTTCATTTCAAATCTTTGTATGAACTTGCGACTTACAGAATAACTGTTCTATAATTGTTGGCCTCTGGGCAATAAATGACTGAATCATGTGTGTTTAAACCTCAGCCTGAGCTGACTCATACATCTAGTTCACCTACAAGCCCCAACATGTTCCTAATTGGCACTCTGTTGACTGCTGTGATGACGTCCTGGTATTTGAATCGGCTTATCTGGTCAGGTGAGGAATCGGATCACTCTTATCAGTTCAGGTTCAGGGAAAACCGATTAAAGGCCTTTTCAGACTCACTATCATTTGGAAACAAACGTTTAGCTGTGTCTCTTTAGTAAAGGCACTGAATGGAGAGTCTAGCTTCAACAGTGTGTGTGCATGTTTGTGTGTGTAGGGCAGAAGAAGCATGAACGTCTACACACAGTACCAGTGTTTACTTAAAATCCATACAAATCAGCATCATTAGCACTAAGCACAAAGTTTTTTTTTCAGTTTGTGACTTTACAACAGCAAACCTGTATCTTACTTTGATTTCATATGGTAGACCAAGCCAATTAAAATAATTGTGGTTTGCTTTCTAACAATTTTTTCCCCCAGCTTTTATTGTCATTACCCTGTCACAAGTACAGAGCAATGAAATTCACTCTCTGCATTTAACCTATCCCCTTGGGGAGCAGTGGGCGACCATTGTGTAGCACCCCAAGGGAGCAGTGTGGGGGTTGAGGGTCTTTGCTCAGGGACCCAGAGTGGCAGTCCATGGGATTGGGGCTTAAACTCAGAACCTATGGAACCCAAGTGCAATGCCCTAACCCCTAGACCGCCACTCCCCTAATGAATATGCTTTGATCTAAATAAATCTATTGGAGTATTAGCTTTTTGTTTATGGTTGTTACCAGGTGAGCATTTGCCCTAGTTACCTATTTATTTTCTTTTAGGATCCCTGTATAACTGGGAAGATGTGGTCAGGGTACAGGGTTATTTGTCTCCAAATCCAAAGTTTTTGAAAGTAGATTTATGATTTCTGTTTTCGTTTCATCTCATAAGTTTTATTACCATGATTGGTGTATTCGACAGATGGGCTTTGCATGTAACGGAAAAAAGCTATGTATTTTTCCCTCACATTTCATATTGTTTTGGATTATTTAATACAATTCTGACACAAGTAATTTAGGAATATAATCTTAATATGAAAAGATTTAAAAAATATTCTGTGTGTTTTGAACTGTCCTCAAGGGCCCGTGTAAATAGTGGACAAGGCTGTAAAAATCTTAAAATGAAATACTCAACTATTTTCTCAGTTTGAGACAAAAGTGTTTGCTCTTACCTGACTCCCTTCTTTCTGCCAGAAAACTGCTGGTTGGGGATTTCCTTTGGCTTCACACGGGAAGGTGGCGGTACGGCCTTGTGAAACAATCTGATCCCGCGGACGGATGACAAACTGGGGTGGAGCTGAAGTCAAAGGACAAAAGGAGCTGTTTCAGAAGGTGATGGGTACATTCTGGTGGAAAACAATACAGCTAGAAGCTATCAGAGCTCAAGCAGAAAACAAGCAACTAATGCAGAAATCAAAATATGGCTACTGTTCAGAGTTTCCATGCAACTTCCTCTTTATTGTGCTCTGAACAGAGAAGAAGATTAGAAGAAGATCAGTGACTAATACTGCCATGGTTACCAAGTTGGCCATTCATCTAGGTGAAGGTAAACCTGAATGAATGACAGTCACAGCGGCATTCACACAACGAGGTGCACAATGATATTTAAACCTGGGACACAGCAATGCCTCAAAGACTTAAAGGGTTATTTTTCCCTGAATAATCATAGGAATGATTCAGCATTACAGTATATTTAAAATAAATTGATTAATTGAGCAATGGAATCAGTTTTTTCAGTGATTATTTCTGTTAAAACACCTTATTGTTTTAACAGAAAAATGTTATTGTTATAGTGCTATTTTTGACCTCATTTCACACATAAAATATATATAAATATTGGGATTTCTCATTTTTACATAGAAAAAGACTGTTGTCTGTAAAGTATGACTAATGCTGCTAAAATGGATTTCGGGCTTCACTGACCTTTTCTAGCACACAGCATTTATAATGAAAACAACTGAACAATATAGAAATTGCTTAATGGAAAGTTGAAGAAGACATCACTTCAACATGGGCATTTACGTTTCTCTATACCGAGGAAACAAAGGCTTAGAAATTGCTACCTGGTATTTGAACCTTCCTTCTCTGAGTTTGTTTGAACAAAAGACAGTGTATAAAGCTGATCGTTGCATTTGATTCTGCAAACGTAACTTGTTTTCTTTTTGAGAGCTAGCAGGGGGAAAAAATCCTTTGTTTGCAAAAAGCTGCCTGTATACAAATCAGAATGTCAGTAAACCAAACCCTCTTGATTTATTACTTCAGTAAACAAGTACACAAAAGGTTTACAGTATAAATTGCTTCTTTTAATTTATTTTCCAAACAAATGGTGTTTAGATGTTGATGGTTAATTAAACTCCTAGAAAAAAAAAAGTGTTAATAAATGGTCTAATAAACTAGTAAAAACAACAGACTGATTCAAACTAAAAAGTTACACTTGTGATATGAAAACTGCAGTCTTTCATTAGTGTTTTTAGGGCTACATTATTGGCTTTATATTCATCTTATCAGTAAAGAGACTGCTCCACAAACAAAGCAAACAATACACTGACTTATATATTGTCTCACCATCTTAGGGTCATGGACAATCATATTAAAGAGTACATAAAAGGATGTCTTCCAGGAAGTGACAGTATTTCATGGAAGTGGTGGTTATAATGAGGATAACTGGGCAATGCATATATGGAGGCCTTGGTCCTTGATGCAGCTGTCATGGGTTTGATTCTTGGCCTGTTGAACTTTGCCACAAGTCTTCCTCTCTCTAAATCCCTTTTCAGTGTGTATACTTCCTAAAAAAATACAACTAAAGGCAATTTGTACCTAAAAATAAATATTTAAACTAAGATTTTTAAGGATTATAATGTCTATATCCTTATAACTGCAGATAATATATTGAATAACTTATATTTGGAGATTTAATGATACAAAGTCTGAATTGTTTCAGTGCAACATCTTGCACCCTCTCTGTTTCTTTTGGTTTCCATGTAAGTCTTTCTTCTAATAAGCCAGCTGGTTTTGGTAAGGCCGGTCTTTTCCCATTTGGCTGGTTTCTCCATGTAATCCCTTTCTGGGGATGTGTATTTGTCAAAGATACACACAGTTGGGAATGGTACAGATGGTAACAGATTTACTGCCGTCCCGTTTGGCCTTCTGGAGCTTGTATATCTCGTGGCTCTCATAATGCCGGGCCTGATACACAGCTCCTAAATCATGCTCTGGCAAGGACATTGTTCCCTCCCTCTTATCCTCTGCTCTGCTGCATTCTTGCTCTGCATTACTTAGTACTCACTAAAAATGTGGTTTCAAACATCATACGGCCATCTCTTATTCTGTACTGTTTAGCTATGTCCTTCAATTTTCTTGGTTTGCTGTTTGTTTTTTTAAACAAGCTGATTTGGGCAAAATTTTGAAGCTATAAGTTAATACTTACAGTGACTTGAAAGAGCTGAACTTTTGCAGAACTTGGGCGGCAGGTTGAGGCTATAATAGACTAGAATCAAGGAACCAACATTTGGTAAATTGGTTGATAGTGCTAAATATTCACTATAAAAAACATCTGAAAAGTATTGTGGCATGAATTCACCCACTAATGGCATCGGGATTCTGAGTACAGCTGTGAGTCTTTTGTAGAGAATGCAGAGAAACACCTAATAACAATCTTTCTTTAAAAAATATATCTGAGCATTGGAATTTAGGTCTTACCGCAGATTGTTATTTAGATTTAGGTAGACCTTTGTTCTACACCATCCAGTTTTTTGTATGATGGCATCGCCATATTTCACACGTCTTCATTTTGCATGACAGCCAAAAAGATTCCAATTCTAACTTATCTGACCAGATCAACGTCTTCCGCATATCTGTTTGCTCCACGTTTTACAGCAGACTTCAAAAATTACATAGACATTGATTTTTATAATTTGGAACAACCTAAACAACACAGAATTCTGCTGAATTCAGCTTAATATGGTGGTGTTAAATGTGCGGTAATCATATAGCCTGGATCTAAGGGAACCAGTACTTTCTATGGCTTGATTCAGAGACTCTTAATGACTCATGAGAATCTCTCTCCTGCCCACTTCTGAAGAAACACATGATTCGGAAGCCATATTTAATTCATGACAAGTCACATCTTTCTGGTTTAGAGAAGGCTCTGCATATAGCTGTAGTCGGGGTGAAAAGAACAAATGGACAAAGAGACAGAGATCCTTTCAGCGCTCACACTCACAAACATTTCCTCCTCCTTTAAGAATCCAATGTTCAATCATATTTTATTCAGAAGTTGACAGCAATTACTGCCTCTTCCGACAGGCTGGTTGAATGTGTAATTTCCTCCATTCTCCAGAAATCTGACAGGTTGACAATCACTGAACAGCTACTGCTGTTTTGGCAACCAGAGTCCTGCCACTAAGGAAGTATTTTCTTCTTTTTTTACACCAGTTAAGCCTCCCTCAAAACACCCCCGTCTGCCATTGTCTCCCTCTCAATGTTTTCATGCTGCACCTTTTTTGTTTTCATGTTTCCTTCTTCCCCTAAAGGCAAACGTTCTCTTAAGGTACCTTCTCTAACTATCTTAAACATCAGTGCCTTTACACTTTATATGCTCTTAATCCTTTTCAAAGATAAAATAAAATGAGCTTCTTAACTCTAAATCGCAGGCATCAATAAAATCTTTTGTCCAACACAGAGAGATGGCATCAAGACTTTCAACTAAAACAGTTCCTAGAACATATGAGATGCATTGTCTAGCATTTCTAGTCCCAGTTTTGAACAAGATAAAACAACCTTTGTTAAGGCAGTTAATTTTTATATTCTTTGCTGTAAAAAAAGAGTTGCTGCATCTTACATAAATTCCATTGAGGAACAATTTATATATTTATAAATTTTGCTAGCAGTAGGTTAATAGAACAACAGCATCATAAATAAAATTAACTAGTATGATTATGGTATTTTTTTTGTTTTTTGTCCAGGTTAGCCTCTGTGTGTAAGTTAGCATAAAAAAGACACATATACATTTATTTCTTAGGTCAAAAGAGAGCACTTGGCACATACTGATGCTCCCTACGGGGTGCCCTTCTCAAAAACGATGCCATGTAACTGGAGAGGGTCATATATTTTGCTAAATGGCACATGTGACCAAAAGCACTGCTTTAGAGCAGCCAAACTCTCCTTAGACAGAGCAAACTAAGGTGAGCAGTGTTCTTAGGCAACAAACAAGTAACTCCATACATTGACAATCCACTGGTCCAAACAAGTCCTGTACTAGATTCCACATCATGAAGGGAGACTGTTTTATTAGAAAGATTTGCAATTTTTCCACTATGTCAGGCCCAGCACCGGTAAGTGAAAATGGGGACGAGAACGTAGGACGGTATTACGTAAACATATCACCAGAATAATTGACAATTAGAAGGACCGCTTATTTTGATGCTCCACCTGGAGAAAGGACATCCTCCACAACATCTTTAGGTGACAGTACAATGTTGTTGCTCTCAGAGGTGGTAAACCTAAAAGTTACAGTTTTAGCATCCCCAGTGGCTGAAAGTTACACAGTGTTGCACAGAACAACCTGAAACTAAATGATCATTGTTCTTGGTCTTTATTAGTTTAGAATGACTGTAAAATAATATTAACAAAAACATGCTCTAGTGTTTTTAGTTTTTTTCTCTCAATTACTCTTCTTAACAATTGAACGTTATAATTCACCTCTGCATTTAACCCATCCCCTTGGGGAGCAGTGGGCTGCCACTGGGCAGTGCCCTGGGAGCAATGTGGGGTCTTTGCTCAGAGACCCAGAGTGGCAGTGTGTAGTAGGGCTTGAACTCAGAACCTCGTACACCCAAAGGGTGTGCACTAACCATTAGGCCACCACTCCACCAGAGTTATGCTTAACTCTTTGTGGCTCAATTCTCATTTCTGTTGGCTCAACCTGCTCATTATCATAATATAATAACCATATGGAGCCTGGAATTGCTGGGATTGTTGCTAAACAGAACTGGTTTCTTTCTGCCATCAGCAGAGGCATGCACTCAGTGACAACTCAATATTAAGTCTTGGCTAGGTTTCTTTGCATAGATTCTTCTTACCAACTGTTATTTAATTTTCAAATTAATATGACTGCGTTGCATTCTCGTCTGCATTGTAGGGAACTAAATCTAAATGCATGACAGGGTAATATTGTAATGAAATTAATTAATAATAATTAAATTCATATTGAACTGGAATGGATTATTAATATTTGCACAATATATTGCTTGGTTTATAAAGTACTTTTATATAACATTTGTAAAAGTTTTGTTCTGAAGAGTCATTACTCTTAAACTGGCTAAATAACTGAAGAAAAATACACAGCTTGTAAAAAAAAATAAAAATAAAAATTTTGAGAAAAACATTTAATGCACACCCTTTCAGGTGTATTTATATTTAATTTTTATAATATTATGCCACTTTGGGGTTCTGTAAGGCTCTTACCTACTAAATGCAGCAATATATGGAAAAAAAACAATCAAAACAACAAACATTTTTTCCTTTTTTTTGTACCAATTTTGGATTCCATTGTATATTTGAAAGGTTATAACGTCTCTCTCTGCCACTGAAAAAAGAAAAAAAAAACATAACAAGATAAAATATCTACACCTAAAAAATGGAGTTTGAGAAGATAATTCCTTCCTGTAATGGTGAATTTTTTTTTCCTTTTTTTTTTTTCTTTTTTTTACGGCATTAGTGGCTTGTTTTTTTGATAGTAGGCTAACAAGAAAGGGGGTATGAGAGAAGGGGAGAGACATGCAGCAAAAGACCACAGACCGGATTCGAACCCAGGTAAGCCGCATGGAGGACTAAGGCCTCAGTACATGGTCGTTGGCGCTAACCACTTTTCGCTAACCAGCTTTTCTATGTTTAAGAGTTCCATATAGGTGAATAGAGAGGGCACAAATGAAATGGTTGTGTTAGTCAAATAAAGAAACCTCAGCCAAAAGATTTTCAAGGCTGCAACTTCTATGCGGTAAGTGAAAAGGCATGCAAAATGAGATCAAACTAGATTGATGAGTACTTACCAACAGGGCGAGCTGAAAACACAACAAGGGTGTAGTGGATACACAAAAGAAACAAAGTAAGATACAGATGCAAACAGATAAAACAACAAAAAGGAACAAAGCAAACATATGAAGTAAGCCAAAAATAACTTAAAAAATCTGAACAAATGGCATGTTGAGTTAGCTCAAACTTTTGGAGGATAGCAAAGGCATGACAGAGAAGATCCAGTAGGAGCTGTCTATTGCATAAGCTGTAAAAACATAATTCTACAGCAAAAATCTGCAGAAAAGATCCATTTGAGAATCCCAATATAATATAAGTAATTTTTTTCTACTCTTTAGGGAAAAAACTGGACCTTCTTTGTCCCTATAAATGAATTATTCTTCTCGGTTGGGGGATGATGGTAATAGCAATGAAAACATGTATTTTTGAAATAGCTTTTGATGGATAAAGCAGAAAATAATGCATGAAAATATACTAATGATGCAACAAGCATTTAGAACCCAGTTGCTGGCTTTAGACAGAATGAAACCCTGAAAGTCAAGTTTTTTTTTTTACTTTGCACAGATTAATGACATACAAGCCCAATAAACATGAGAGAGGTTTAGTGTTGCAATATGCTACTTTATGTTACTTTCACAAATCTGTTTCCAGTCAACTCCTGTTCCTTCAGTGAGGCCATACCCTCCACAGAGAATGTAAATAGTTGGATGTAATTGAGAAAAGATTGGTGCAAATAAGAAAATTATAAGTAGAATGTTTTTATTAACCTTGCAAACCCCAGGTGTGAAAGAGATGGTGTGCACCAGTAATCTGTGAAATGGCCTTGCTGACTGGGTGGTTACAGTATGGACGTCAGCGGGGGGCAATAGTCCACTAGAATGGGGGTGGGGTTGACGAAGTGTGTCGCTAAGGCACTTGGAAATGTAAATAATTAAACAGATTCATAGACTGTAAACATCTATGTTGGCTATGGAAAGCTTCAAGCTGTATCATGATTTGCATAAAGAAATCCCTGCAGAGAAAACTGCCAATTTAGACGTGATATTGGTGGAACAGCATGAAACCCAGTGGTCCGTAGAGTCTATATGTGCAGCGGTTTGCTCCGTTTGTTGTAAGGAAAAAAGAACAAAAAGAATTTTACCTCGGACTGTGAGGGTGGCTGAAGCCTCCAGTTTGCCCACACGGTTTTCTGCCACACAGGTGAACGTTCCCTCATCACTAATGGAAGCTTTCTTCACTCTCAGCATATAGTCGTCCTTATCGTACCTGGTTTCATACCTGAAACAACAGTATAACAACACAGCAAAAGTGGACAATTAGAGAACAGAAATATTGTCATTAAGCGCACAGTGTTTTGACTGCCGACATTTCATGGTAGAGTTTTATATAAATCTATATTGCAGGAAAAGGGCTTCAAAACCAGTAAAGAACAGCAAAAGGCAGTTTTTTTTTAAAGCATAACCACTGATTTCTCACAAGAAAGTATTAAGTTAATATCTCTCTTTTTGATAATAATGTAATTAGTCTTATGCTTATTTAGTTGCATATCTGTTGTATTGTGTGTCAACAGCATGTGCATTGAAGTGATTATAAATTATTACTAATGACACAAAGCAGCAGGTTTACCTAAATATTTGCAGTTAGCTTTCTTCATTATGTAAAGTGAAATAATTCAGGGCCTTCTAGAAAAAAAGGATTTTTTTTTACTGGCTAGCTGGATAAAACCAGCTGTATAATTGGGTTGCAATACAATAGATTTTAACTATTTAAATCTGAAATCCGGTTTTATGTAAATCTATATAAATTGGACCCATTGAATTGGACATGTACCAATGGAGAGTAATTCAGTATTTAATTTGGTTACAATGAATGCTCCAACTCTTTGTGTCCAAACCATACTGGCATGCCAATAGGTTTCTTCTTTATAATTTTACCAAGACACAAGTACTGGTTTCTTTATAGAAGGTAAAATAATTAACCCTTTTCCAATTTTTTGCTGCTCATTGCTGATCAGCAGTCCACCAGTTGGAAAGCTTATAGCAACATGCCCGTAACTCATTTTAATATATAGTAGTTATGTAAACATATTTCTTTTTCTTCATCGTGCCAAATCAAAAAAACAACTAAGTTCAATCAATTTATTTATATGACTCTAATTTATAATACAGTACATCTTAAGGCCCACTGCTTAAGGGGAGCAGTTGGCTGCCATTGTGCGGCGCCCACGGAGCTATCCTTTTCATGGTAATCAATGTCAGATAATAGTAGAAAGAGTTTTTTTTCTTTTTCGTTCTTAGTAAAATGGCCTTAATAGTTCACACAAACTAGTTTCAAATTAGTTAGAACATAGAAATCTCATAATGGTGGCAATAAAGAGGGTGCCAATATCTGCAGTTGTCAATATATTACCAGATGTTTCAGAGCTATTGTAGGCTGTCCAAATGACATACTAGTATACCAAATTAATGTAAAGCAAAAAATAGCCAACCTTAGACAAAATTATTATTTGTGTAAATATTGTTGTTTTGAACTATCACCATGCAGCCTTAAAAATGAAAACAACAAAAGCTATTTAATTCACAGTGTAATTATTATCAGAAAACTATCAATTTGCAGTCTAAAAACCAAAATGAAGAGACAGGAATCCACCGGACCAATGGCTGCCTGAGTTAATCCTTCAGAAACTGAGAAGTAAACCAGAAGGATGCTGTTGAACAAACTACACCAGGATTTACCTGAATGAAAACATAAATGACCCCATGCAATATTAAAGGACTTCGTATGGCTCCAAGTGTAGTGCTAACTAATTAAAAAACTTTTTTGAATTAGAATTTTTTTATTTGAAATGTCATACCAGATTTTTTTAATTGAACCATTAATTGACATATTTTCCAGTAAAAAGGCTTTATTTTTGCTTTATATACTGTAACACAATACAATACAACATTACAAATGATAGTTTGCAGCAATGCTTCTAATGTGACTGTGGGGGAGCAGTTTAACATGGTCCATTTCCCTTTCAGTGAGAAAGACCCTTCTGCTCAATGATCAGGTGTACTGATGGCAGTTTGCCACTGGCAGGCGAGAAACTAATTTATCCCCTCTATCCATGTCTTTTTCTTCACCTGCTGTTATGACATTTCCTGAGAAGCATTCAAAGGCAGTTTTATTGAACCTCATTCCTCAGCTATGACTGTGGGTTCTACCTTTCCACACTGGCACTTAAAGAACCATAATGATTATTTGACTGAGTCATGACTGAATTCTTTGTTGAGCAGAAAGCGGGGATGTACTGTTAAGGTAATTCTTCTAGTGTGGATAAACCATTTATTGTGATTAAAAAAAGATGACTGACATACAAAGGGATGAGATGGCACTTTGACAGCAGGCTTGTCTGAGAAAAGGAAAAACAAACAACCTAACAGACAAGGTATCAAATCATATCCTGTCTTCCGGATACAATAGATACCTTGTGCTACTGGAAGAAATAAGGAAGAGCCAAAGAAAGACATGAACAAGTTAGGGCAAAACAGTAAATCCTTAAAGATTGCTCATACTGTAGTGGTAACTAGACATGGGTCAGTTCCCAGCATTCATACTGTAAATACTGATGCTTTCAAAAGTTAAAGTGTCAGAAAAACTGAAATATTCTGCAAAAACCATAATTCTGGTTTAAAGTCTTGTAAATAAAATATCAGAGAAAGTGCTGGAATGAGTTTGACAGAGTAATACAATGGTGTTGTGTACTACTTATCGGCTTGTCGGCTTGCTGAAAGTGACAAAGCCAATTCCGTTCTGTATCTGACTGTATGATTGGGTAGAATTTTCGTTTTAAAGTGCCTTGAAATTACGTGTTGTGAATTGGTGCCAGATGAGTACATTGAATTTAATATTCTTGTTAGTGTTTTTTTTTTTTTTTTTTTTTGCAGAGAGCTGCAGTTACCACATGAGGGCTATGATTTGTCTATAAATATGTAGGCATGTAGCCTACATAAGTATCAAAGTAGCATGCAAGTGACCAGCAGGGCACAGTTTTTCACTTTAGAGTGTTATGTAAGAACAAATAGGCAAACCCTAATAAGCATTATATATTATTGTATATGCATCGTGATTCCTATGTTTAGTGTTTATGTTTCTTTCTGGTTCAAACCAAAAAATAAAGTAAAGCTAACATTTCTTTAACAGTTGATTTAGGCCCTACCATAAAAAAAAGTTTAATTGAGCTGCTCTTTACAGATTCAGCTGCTCTGAACTGTGTTTGTATAGTTTACAAAAAACATCTAAGACCAAAACATTGTTGCAAAAGTGGAATTTGTCATTACAGCAAAATAAATGCAAAATACATGTATGTGTAAATTTGAATGGATATCGTGACCACAGCCTGATTGCCATGGCCAAAATATTTGATCTTTTTTAAGGTGGTTCTGAGTGGCAACATTTACTAAAAGACAATAACTGTATCTCTAGTATTGTGCATATAGACAGCGTTTTTCAAATTTTGTTTTTAACAGATATATTCTTCATATTGCCTCACATTTCCAGACAACCATTGACTAACACAAAAAGGTGTTTTTACTCTCTGAAGTGCAGCCCAAAGATTTTTTGTTTATCTTTTGGACCATTCTCTTTACACCATTCTCTGATAACCTGTTTGCAGAATGTACAAACAAACTAACCAATTTCTGATTTATTAAATTAATTTTCTTCTTCAATTTGATCTGAACTTGTACTACTCATGCTCACCATGTCTGAACGTTTTTTTTATGTCAACAAGGAACTGAACTGTTGAACATAGTAAGCATACAGCTAGTAAAATACAGTTAGACATGCTTCTCCTTTTACTGTAACTTTCATTATAGCCACAAAACCCATCATCACTCCAAAAACAGCTTCCATTCAGGTTCCCACAGTCCTGAATGAACCCTTGTTGTTTTGAAGAAGCCAGGTATGCACATATCAAACAAGAATCATATTGTTATTGGTCTGGTCTCAAGCAACCTCTCAAAACAACCTCAGGCTGGTTCATGATTTATTAAAGGGACATGAGTGCAATCAATCTGTAATCAACTTCCCATATGGAATCAGCTTAGACGACAAGATGAGTGGAAATACTCTCAGGGATAAGAGGCAGTTGTGGCCACACAAGTAAGTGCACACAGAGCGGGAACAGTAGCTCTTTATTGTGAGGGCTCTGTTCTCTATTAGAGGAGGAATGTAATTGCACATGTATAAGGCCTGTGGACAGGATTGGAGTGCCAAGTTTGTTCCACTGGACTCCCCCTGCATTTTAACCAGGGAAGGCATACTGTACACATGCAGGAAAAGAAAGAGTATGATTCAACGCATACACATTTGAAATGCAGGGTCTTTCCCTATTGTGGACTGACGAGGATTGATGGGAATGTAAGTAAATGCCCAAACAAAGCAGCAGTTTTCTTGGTTGTCAGCTTGATGTGTTTTCAGCATGAGAAATCTGCATTGAGATGAACATTTAATGGGCACGCTTTAAAAGCAATCCATCTCAAAGATCCTCCAGATCAATTTCAAAGAATTTGACTTTAAAGTGACTGTCAGGAACACAGCCACCCTTGTTCGACATTCACTCTTGTGCCAATTCAGCCACATTAAAAGATTTTATCACTCACTGTATAAACAACTGAATGAATGTGCCTACAAAGGGATTTTATGACAGAATCTTATCTGCAGTACCTCTTTAAGTACACATTCATAGACAGGAAGGATAGCAGGAAAAAAGGGAGTGTTTCTATTTTCAGCATGAGTCAGAATCAAGCTAGAGTAAGAGTCTTATTCCAGCAAAGAACTTTGGCCTCGCTGCTCACACAAAGTCCTGTTACCGCTTCATTTCATTCTGCCAGCTTGATCCAGTTCCGCGCCACCTGACTGCTGATTTCCCTCAAGCTGATCAAAGGAGCAGAAGTCTACCTGTTCAGTACTTGTTGCCCGTAACAAAGAATCAATTACCTGCTATCACTTCTCATCTGGCTTCAATATAGCCTTTAGCCAGACCTGCCCTACCTCTGGTCTTGGCACATCTCATGACCAAAACCCCCACTGGGATTCATCAATGCTGTGACATTCATAACAGAATCCTTTTTTTTATTATTTCAAACTCCAACCTTTACTGATTTTTTTTTTTACCTTAAACAGTATATTCCAAAAGAGTTATTTGTACCAAACCAATGCAGACACAAAGATTTCTGTAAAAATTGAAAATATATAGCCATAGAATAGAGATTAGTGGTGGTTTTTTTATGTTT